CCCTAGAGCCTAATCCCTAAACCCTAAACCTTAAACCCTAAACCCTAAACCAGGGAGTAGAGCAGATGCCCTGCTAAGACTTCAGCTGGATCTTGAGCACGTCAACCACCTCTACAGGCTCCTGAGCTGCATGGCTCTACATCTACCGGGTGCTATATTATTGGGGGTTATATAGGGATAATGGACAAGAAAATGGAAACCCTAGGCCCCTTTAAAGAGATATATAGGGTTATATTGGGGTTCTACCCTGTGGTATTTTCTTGGGGTTCTATGGGGGTAATGGAAAAGAACATGGAAATTACTATTTAGGGTTTAGGGTTTAGGTTTATGGTCCCCCTTAGTGGGTAAAGTGGGTATATCATTGGGGTTATATAGGGATAACGGATAAGAAAATGGAAGCTACTACATGATAATAGGGTATATATTGGGGTTATATAGGGACAATGGAAAAGAAAATGGAAACTACTATAATGTGGTATATACGTTGGGGTTATATAGTGATAAAGGACAAGAAAATGGAAACGACTATAATGTGGTATATATTGGGGTTATATAGGGATAATGGAGAACGAAATGGGAACTACTATAATGTGGTATATATTGGGGTTCTATAGGGACACTGGAAAAGAAAATGGCAGCTACTATAATGTGGTATATATTGTGGTTATATTGGGATGAAGGACAAGCAAATGGGAAGTACTATAATGTGGTAGATTATTGGGGTTATATAGGGATAATGGAAAAGAAAATGGAAACTACCATAATGTGGTATATATTGGGAAACTACTACATTATAATAGGGTATATATTGGGGCTTTATAGGGATAATGGAAAAGAAAATGGGAACTACTACAATGTGGTATATATGGGGGTGATATAGGGATAATGGACAAGAAATTGGAAACTACTACATTAAACTGGGTTATATATTGGCGTTATATAAAGACAATGGAAAAGACAATGGAAACTACTACATTAAAATAGGGTATATATTGGGGTTATATAGGGACAATGGACAAGAAAATGGGAACTACTACATTATAATAGGGTATATATTGGGGTTACATAGGGACAATGGAAAAGAAAATAGGAAATAGTACATTAGAATAGGGTATATATTGGGGTTATATAGGGACAATGGAAAAGAAAATGGGAACTACTATAAGGTGGTGTATATTGGGGTTCTATAGGGATAATGGAAAAGAAAATGGGAGCTAATACATTACAATAGGGTATATTATTGGGGTTATATAGGGACAGTGGAAAAGAAAATTGGAACTACTACATTAAAATAGGTTATATATTGGGGTTACATAGGGATAATGGACAAGAAAATGGGAACTACTATAATAGGGTATATGTTGGGGTTATATAGGGCTAATGGACAAGAAAATGGAAACTACTATAATGCGGTATATTTTGGGGTTATATAGTCTAGTGATAATGGAAAAGAAAATGGAAACTACTACATTATAATGGGTATATTATTGGGGTTTTATAGGGATAGTAATGGAAAAACTGGAAACTACTATATTATAATATGATAGTGGAGCATGGGGTTCACATGATTAATGCTTGTATAACTTACGCAGGGAAATTTCTGAGAAACCCCACCTAGCAATGTTCGGACTGTAGAGCTAGGTAGGGTATCATGTTGAATAAGACTCATGGGGATCTCGAGAAAAGTAGAATCCTGCTCCCAGCTTGAATTGCCAAATGCCAAACCTTAAACCGCGTAGGCTTGAAGACTTTGAGGCCCGCTTGTGAACCATGTGAAGGTAAGTTTTACAGCGGGGCTCAGCGAACCTGAACCTTCACCTCCACGCGTAACGTACTGGGGATTAGTAAAGAATATGGGAATATACTATATAAAAACTTTTAGGGTTTAGGGTTTAGGGTTTTAGGGTTTTAGGGTTTATACTCCCTCATTCCCTACTAAGAACCCGTAAGGTAAAGGCTAGCAGTGTCTGGGTCATGTGCCTAACCAGGGCTTACAGGCAGCATGGATGACCCTAAACCCTAGCACCCTTCATGTCTTAGGGGATCTCACATGACATCCAATCACATGGAGGTGGATGTCCTCACAGAATGCTGTTGCTGTGCTTGTGTGGACATGCGCAGCCGCAACACACATTTCTTAGTTGGCTTGTGGTGGCTACAGGGCCGCTTAATGTTCCGATGACCCTCAAGCGTCAGCAAAGACCGTAGGAATCATACTCGCTGGAAAAGGTCAGAATATTTAGGGTCATATTGAACTCGCCCGGTTTTGCATCCAGGATGCCTTGTTGTCGATGGAGCATCCTGGGGCAATGAACTCAACCAGCGGGATTGCCTGGCAGGTTGTTTTATCATGCTCAGACAAGGTTGAGGAAGATAGCCGGTTAGCAAAGGGACTGTTTACAACTAAATACACAGCATGAGCACTCAGGGAGTCGTCATAACAATGCTGGCCATCCATGTATATCGAACCCCAAATAATCTACGAAGCAGTCACATCAATCACATGGCAGTGAAAGAAGAGCCTCCAAGCGATCGCACCTTCAAGCTGCCCAATGAGGCCAGAGTAGGGCTCTGTCAAGTTTCAACGGGACTTAACAGGAAAGGGATCAAACTACCCACCGCTACGACATTTCCTACCAGTCCTTGCCATTGCTAGAGCTTTTAGGCTTGAAGTAGGGTATACTGCCAGCTTAGAGACCCTCTCCCCTAAAAGCCACTCAGAACTCCTTGAACAAAGCCTAAACCTTGGGCTAAGCTCTGAAGATCTGTTTCCAACCCCATAACTGTATCCCAAAATCACCGCCCTGCTCCAGCCCCCTAACAAACTGGGTTGCTGCTAAGGAACCTATACAGCAAATAGTGGGGTTTCTTTGCCAAACTACCTTGATACGTTCCTTAACAGGAACCCAGCCAAGAAATTGGGCCGTGGCCTTGTCTTTGCTGCTAGCTTTCGTCTTTGTCGGCTCGCCTTCTTCGGCTGCCTGCACTTTTGCTGAGCGTTTTGTTTTGGCTTTTTCCCCTGTGTTCTGCATGTTGGAATAACTACACACAGTGCCAGTAGTGCTGTGAGAACCAGTTCAATTTCAAGAGAGCTGTCGACTTGCAAGGCTTCTACCACCGTCTGTTCAACTCGCATGAAGGATCTGTATGATGTTCCATGTGAAGTGCTTGCAGTTTGAGGAGCGCTCTCATTCTTTGATCTCCCAGCTTCTGATGTCACGTCTTGTTCATCCGGCTGAGCCGGTGCTGTCGAGGCTCCACACAGTAGAGTGCGACTGCAGTTGAGCAATCACAGCTGAGCGAAGATGTACGGCCCCGTGAGCTCCTCCACGGCTGCAGGATCATCACTGCAGTTACGCTCAGCGCGAGGCGCATCCTGTTGCTGCTGGACCTCTACCTCTGGCAACGTCTCGGCTTCAAAGGCGACGAGGCTGGCCTGGTCCATCAGAGTGTGAAGTTCACTGCTGGTGTCCTCCTCTGCCCGCAGTGCCACAACCTGGACTCCCAGGATCTGTGTGGCGCGTGCCAACAGCTCGACCATAGCAGTGTCTGGAGCCACAGTAAGCATAGTGCTACAGGGTCCATTTGGGTTTGCAATTTTGGGCTGGGCTCGGTGCACATAGAGGCGCAGGGATGCAGGGGCTACCGGCTCTGCTTTCTCGCTTGCCACCACTGGATCTATCTTCCATAGCTCATACTCTGAACCAGGCGGAAAGGCCAGCAGCCGTGGCACTCCATCAGCAGCTGGCGGCAGCTCCACCACCACTCGACCAGTCCACTGCTCCTCAACTCCCTGCAGATGGCTACAGGCTGGCTCACTGCGAACTGCTACATAAATCATTCCCAAGTCGTGTGATTCTGGTGCTGATATGGAAAACTGCGGCATGACGTGGGCGCAGGATGTGCGGAGCCTGACTGTGAATTCCAGGCTTTGCCGGTCAAGCGACAGAGTCGGCGCAGGCCGATCCAGGATGGTGTACGAGGCACCAAACTTTGCGCTCACATTCGCGAGAGCAGCAGCATCGTAATACTCATAGGGCGCACATGCAGACACTGCGACGGCACCGCATAGAACAAGCGTGGGCGTCAGCCACATGGCTACACTTCCCAAACTGCTGGAAACACTGCAGACATCAGCAGAGTTGCCCTTTGGTTGCTGAGCGTGGTTTACCTAACCGGGTATCTGCCCAACTTGAAGTCCCCTTCATACAGGCTTTGCTGAAATCATGGGTCAATCTTGAAAAGTGGCTGAATTGTCTGAGAGCGCTCAAAGCCTCTTATAGCGAGGTACTGTAGAAGCCTAAATGACTACCATTCTGATGGTCCTTCATTCCTTGCATAGCTATAGCACACGGTACCTCAAACAGACCTCCGAAAATTATATCGGTCATAATTTAGGCCCGTAGACTCGTCTCTGGCCCACACCTAGTATTCAACCCAGTTGCGCGTGGCTTCATGTGCCAATGAAGATAAATAATCCCAGACGATGATGTCCAGCGTTCACGAAATCTCAGCCAAAAACAATGTGTACAACAATGTGTACAAAGAAAGCACTAAACCCAGGGAGCTGCGATTAGCATTGCTCGCGGGAAGCAGTCATCACTTCCGGCCGCGCAGGTTACACATCCTCACACTGCATTGACCGGAGATCCTCAAAAGAAATCAATAGTTACGAAGTACGTAGTCTGACCCCTACATAAACCCGCTGCAGCCCTTTAGACTTCACAGCTTCCAAACAAGGGTCTCCTTCGTATACCGCCATGCACCATAGGCCCTCGTGAAAAGCACTCCCCCAAAAGAGGTCAGAAACCCTTAAAGGCAGCTTCCACAAATAGGGGTACCCCAATATAGACCCCCAAATACTACAGTCCCACAAAATCTTCCCCCGTTTTGTTTTTGAAGCACACCACTTCGCCCCCAGGATCCAGAAAACCCAATTCAGGTAATATCTAATGGGACTTTTGGGCCAATGAAGGCACTACTTGTAAACTTAGATCCCTATATAGCCCCTGTATAATCCCAGTTTCCATTTCGTTTTCAATGGTGTTTTCCATTTGATTCATCGCCCGCAAGCAGTGGAGCCCGCTCGCTCAGCGCTCAATTCAATTTCCATTTGATTCTGCATTATTGGGGGTGTACTTGGATCCCTATATAATCCCTACATAATTCCTATACAGCCCCTAGAACCCCTATAAAATCCTTCGGAAATCCTCAGGAGCAGTGCCTTATGTCTTTCGAGGTCGGCTTCCCTACGCCCGCGCTCGATGCGCAGGGCCACCTACGAGCTTTGATTTAGGGATTCAGGGTTTTTAGGGTTTATAGGCTTTATGGTAGTTTCCCAAAATAGGGGGACCCCAATATAGACCCCAATATATTATAGTCCTTATTATTGGGACCCCTAAAATGGTACCCCTAATTTGGGGAAACCCCCTTATAGGGTTTGTAGAGTTCATAGGGTTGATAGGGTTGATAGGGCTGATAGGATTGATAGGGTTTATAGGGTTTATAGGTTTTATGGGGTTTGTAGGGTTTAGGGTTTAGGGTAGGGTTCATTGAGGGTTTGGGGTAGCTTTGGGGCTTTGGGGGTGCAGGTGTCTTTAGGTAGGCTGAACATAAAATAGAGGTTACTTACATCAAACACGTATCCGAAACATGGGGAGTTCCATTCCATTGTCCTTCTACGTCAGGAACAGGGCTTGGCTCCGGCAAGGGGGCTCCTTTACCCCAAAGTCGGGAATCAAATGAAACATGGAAAGCTAAATGCAAGCTGCTGTTTTATAGTGGATGATGCGTGCCCATAGTAAGGATTGTAATGCTTGGGCATCTACATTGGGGCCCCCATCTATGGAAACGTTTTCCAAATAAGGCTCTCTTATTATATTCCATAACTTGGGGCACAGGGAATAGCTCGTCTATCCCCAGACGATGACAGCTGTCCACAACAAATTGGCCAGCCATGTTGAACGTCTAGGACTATGTCAATGCTTTGGGTACGGCCCCACCCAGTAACACTCTATTAGGTGTTATGTCATATCAAAGGCTTCATACGGTTGTATGAGAAATATTATCCAACTGTTACAGGGGGGAGAAGTACCCAATCAATGCTGATACGAGGTCCCAAAAGCATTGACTTCGATCCCTTCACAAAGATTTACGCAAGCTCCCTAATGTCTTCACGGTATGTCTCTGGGAAATTGCATGCAGGGGATGCGTTGCCTTCCTGATCCACGCCCCAGTTGACGATTTCTAGATGAAGTGTCTCAGCTTCATCACAAGCGTTAGTAGAGTCGCGGAACACATGGGTGCAGTGACTTTTCCATTCCTGCTTGCCGCGCTGAACAACTGTTTGTCACTGTCTTCCCGCAAGACTCGTGAATCCTTTGAACAATGAAGTGATTCTTATTACTGGTTGGGCATGCTGCCAGCCCTGGTGAAGAGTACAACTCGCGGCGGGTTCTCATGGTTGTGGTGCTCTGTCCTGCGGCATCCTGCACTCTCCCGGCAACATATCCCTTTAACCCCCAGGTTGGTAAGATTGTTTGTTCCTTCACAGCATACATGCCAGGGTGCCTTCCGCCTCGGATCTTTGGCCATCTGCTCCTCACGTGTTTGGGGTGCCCGCTGTCCCTTGGGCAAGGGTCTGGAACCAGAGGTTTTCAACGTGGCCTGGAAACTTCAATATGGTCCTTGGCTTTGTTATGGTTTCTGGGTTGGCGTGACAAGCAGAATCCCCAACAAGGTGCGTCAAGGTACGACAACTCCCTCTGGGGCCGCGAAAACATTACTCACGTTTCGAAAGACCCTGCATTCGCCGCCATGAAAAATGGCATTTCGCGGTTCGTCCATCACACTTCTATGAGGAAGAATGCTCAATTGATCCATATCCAGCTACGAGATATCTGGATTTGACATCTGTCACTGTCACCCGTGAAGTAGAAAGCTAGATGAGCAGAAGGCAAAACTTGCTGTGGCCCTGTAACCACTGCCCCCAAACTCCTTTCCAGTCCAGAAGCCATTCAAAGTGAAGAGTGAGGCAAAGGTCCTTCAAAGTAATTTCAGTGCCAACCAAAGACACAACGGGGTACCCCAACAGTGTGGGTTCGTCAGCGATTGAATTAACTACACCCCCCGACCAAGTTAGAGCTTGAGAACAGAGAGACTAGCTCTTTTCGGGGTCACATGCGATGTGAGTCCTTCTTCCGAGCGCGCCGCACCTCTGCCTGACCGTTTGTCTAATTCAGCACTATTGCTTTGAGAGATGCAATCGTCTTTTGCAAGGAGAGGCGCAGGAAACCTCAAATAAGAACGCAAGGATCTGGCAAGAAATGCACTAAGCTTAAGGTCCAGAACTTCGAGATCAGGATAAATCGTGCGCAGATATTCTACGTCGCTAATGGCTACTGATGTCAGAGGGAACCAAGGCACCGCAATGATGGAACTAGGTCACCACTAAGGATTCCTCACAGCTGCTCAGCTGCAATGGTTTCCTGAGCCACATGAGTAATAGTACCTGCAGAAACTGCAATATCTCGGCATGGCAGAATTGCCTTCTGCCTGCAACTTCCTATGTGTGCGTATGCGTGCTGGCTGCCTTCTTTGCAGTACTCGACGCTGACCGACCTGGTTCCTCCTAGATCTGGTTCTCAGTCGGGGCCCGTACAGCCCGTACTTTGTAGTTTCCATATATAGGGGGACCCCAGTATGGCCCCCAGTATACTAAAATCCTGTTTATGGGAACTCCCAAAAAGGTACCTCTAGTTTTGGGAGACCACCACTTGGGCCCTGTACGATGTCTTGCCTTGCGGGCCCTACGGTATCAGCAGAAAGTCACCACGAGGGTTTTAAGGTTTGCCTGGAGTACTGTTCCCAACATGCGGGAAGAGTCATCAACACCATGATCCCAAATACAGAAGCCCACATATACTAAACTAGGCACACCCATGTGCACCCTCAGCACCAAACCCTGAACCCCAAACCCTGGACCCAAAATCCTAAACTTGTACTTGCTTCAGATTCCTGTCAACAACCCTGAGCCCTAAGCCCTAAGCCCTAAACCGAAATCCCAGACCCCCTTAAAGGATCCAACAAATGGAATCCCCTAATAATCCCCTAGCTACCCCAATGTGGTAATGGGTTCATGTTATGGGGGTTCCATTTTTTGGATCCTTAAGCCCTAATGGCTATTCTGAACAATGATATTCTCTATTTTTCCCCTTGTAGACCCTCAGGATCCCTTTATTTTCCTCAAAGGACCTTTAGATCAACACCCCCTCCCCCGTACTGTTGATACTAAAAATCCTGCATGACCTTAGTACACTATAGTACCATTATTCCCAAGGTTTAGTGTATTTAGGGTCCTGCAGGATTTTTAGTCTCTTCCCCACCCCTATTACCCACCATGTAATCCCAGTTTCCATGTGAGTTTCCAAGTTCTTTTCCGGTTTGATTATCCATTAGTGGGGTAATGCCCCTTTATCCCCCATATAACACCCAATGAGATAATAGCCTCCATTTCAGGTTCGCCTTCATGTGCCGTTTGATTCTCCGTTGTAGGGTTACTAGTTAATATGTCTGTAAAAACACATCCCTAAACTTTGGGTCAATCCCCCCACCGAGCAATGGGATATCAAGGCCCTATTAACTTCATATTTAGGGGCTGTCGCTGGAGGTGGGATTGACCTGACCTAAACCCCAAACCCTAAACCCTAAACCCTTGAACCCTAAACCCTAAACCCTAAACCCATCTGTAGGCCTCCTTTTCACGCCTTGCGGCTTCCAGTCGAGCGGCAGCTTTGGCATCGCCTCGGGATGCACTCCATGGGCTCTGCAGGGTTATATTACCCCAATAATGGAAAATCAAATGGAAAAGGGTTTAGGGTTTAGGGTATATCATACCCCAATAATGGAGAATTAAATGGAAAAGAAAATGGAAAATGAAATGGAAACCCTAGGTCCCTTTAAAGGGGTATATAGGGATATATAGGGATATTACCCTAGTAATGGAGAATCAAATGGAAAAGAAAATGGAAAATGAAATGGAAACTGGGATTATATAGGGGTTATATAGGGATTATATTCTCTATATGGGGGTTTCCCGAAATTAGGGGTACCATTTTGGGGTTCTCCATAATAAGGACTATAGTATTTTGGGGTATATATTAGGGTCCCCCCATTTTGGGAAACTACCATATCTTACATAGACCCTCCGGCAAATGCTGAGAAGCGGGTATATAGCGGGCTATTTCACCAATAGTGTAGAATCGTAAATTTCAGGAGCTAGGTATCCCCACGTCCTACAGAAGCGACAAAAAGGCAGTCTGCTAAATGAATGTGGCACCCTCGGAGGCCTTTTTGGTTTAGGGTACCCTAAGGGTCCATGTACCCAATATTTGGGTACTTGGGATTTGGGTAATAACAAATATAGTACAGGTTTGGGGTAAGTATATGATTATTAGGTACTTGGACCCTTAGGGGTATAGGGTGGAGCGGTTCGTAAGGAGCTCGTTCTCAGGTTCTTTGTTTGTTTGTCAGAGTGTAAGGAGTGCCGGGATTACACCCAGGCGTTCTGGGGGCTTCCAGAAATCTGGAGTCCTTTTTGAGATTCCCCAAACCACGGATAAGAATATATTGCGGTCTATATGGGGCCTCCATCGTTATGGAAACTACCTTCAAGCAGAGCTTATCATCTTCACGGAGGCCTTTTGATGCCCTGAACCCTTGAACCTTAGACCCTGAAACCCTCAACCCTGAAGCCTTAAACCCTAAGCCCTAAATAGTAGTTTCCATTTTCTTTTCCATCATCCCTTTATTACCCATATTCCCTATATAGCCCCTACATCCAATAAGCCTAAAACCAGAACCCAGATCCGAGTTGCTCTTCTTCTGGAGATGGTCTAAGCGCAAGTTTCGCGAAATCTCCTGCGCCAGGCTTCTTTTTCGTGTCTTTGTAGGCTTAGAATCTCTCTAAAGTAGATAGAATATGGCTTTGGGTATAATATTGCAGTAAGATCCCCATATACCCCATATTCTATCTACTGAGGGACTATACATGTCTGCAATGAGCTCTAAGGTTCCTAAAATTGCTTCAAGACACAGATCCTTGTAAAGCACATAGGCCTCTTTAAGAAACTCCTGCAACTAGTATCCCTGCTGGGCGTGTTAAGCCTGTTGCCCCTCCACCTGGCCAGGGTTGGCCAACTTCGCCCTGAACCTCGGTTACTTGAAGGTTCATGGGACTTAGGAACTACGTACGACTGGGGTTATAACCCTACTTATAATTGGGGTAACCCCATAAGGCCATTTGGAGGAATCATAAATAGGGTTATAGGCCCAATTATAAGTAGTTACCAAGTCCCATGAACCTTCAAGTAGTTAGGTTTAGACGAAGCCTTCACTGTTCCTGATACTTGGAGGTTCAATGGCAGCTATAAGTACATTGGGGCAACACATACCGCTAGTAGCCTATAGCCGATGTTAACTCTGCCAATTCTACTTGCACCCCCTGTTGAAACTACCCCCAAGTAAAGCCCTTCGAAGCGTGCAGCAACTACACGAAAGGAAATCTCCCTGGAGCTACAATTCGAAACCAGCAATGAGAAGGCAATATTGTCCTGTACCGGTCTGTGTTGATTTGTTTTGCTGGGTCCTCGATGGAGTGCGACAGAATCGCTACCTCAAGGATGCAGCAAAGGCCCTTCTTGCGTCACGCAGGTTGCATCACAATGCCACCATGCGGTAACATAACAAGCAGGACTTCCCACCCATGCAAGGGTAAGCGCGAGGCATGGTCCGCAAAGGCGTCGTCGTTTATCATCTCGACAGCCTGTTGACGAAGATAGTTGTGCATTGCAGGTTGTGCTAACTTGACATAGATCTATGGCTTTTCCTGCAATAACTCGGACACTACTGCAACGCATAACTCAAACCACAAGACCTGCAACAGCACACCCAATGCAGAATGCACCCTGCCACAGCTACCTGGGGTGGGGATCCTTACTTTGATGCACCTGCCTGGAGCAAAGATGTACGACCCAGAAGGCGGGCTGTCCAAAACAAACCTACAACAGCCTGCACTCCCCCTAAAAAGCTTTTTCGGACGGACTTTGTCAAGTTTTCTTGGCTGCCAGCTGCAGTTATAGGGCAGTGCCTCTAAATCCTACACCCAAACAGGAACCACGTTGTTTGAGGAAGCCCCGCGTCGCCTGTGTCGCCATTCCTTCAGTTGCTGTGTAAAATTGGAAACAAGGTGAAACTCTTGTTGGGAGGCGACCCAGTTAAGTGGAACAGAAATGCAAACTCGACGCCCCTGAGGGTCAGAGTCTAACAGGGCTTGACAGGGGCTAGTACTGCTGATGCACAAACCCCGTGTGACCTTAATAAGGTACCATAGTTTCTATTTACTGTAGGACTTCCTAGGCTTGGCGTCTTCCCCCCAAAAATAGCTAAAATGAATGTATTCATGTGCTACCCGTCCCTACAACAAGAACTACAGGATTTCGCGGTATGAAGGAGGACCCCTCCCCCCCCACATTTTTTTGAAATATCAATATACTCTACCAGTAACTAGGATCTAGTCAGCTCACGGTGGCAGAATCACTCCCATACAGGATCAAGACATAAGGCATGCAAGTTCACTTCGCCATCCCTGTATACAAACGCCTGCAACATGCCTGGTCCCTAAATCTCAAACAGCTTCAGTGATCCTTAGTGAAAGAAGCCAGGTGCCTCAGCTTCATCCGCTTCTGACCTAACACTGCTTGCGACGGCAGAGAAACTTAGGTGTACCTTTGGATATCCCACTCCCTTTTGCAAACGGTCATCGCAGCGATTCATTCAACCTGCTGTTACATTCTCTTCTACTCAGAAGGCAGCAGAATGCCAAGTTGAGAACCCCACATTTGGTTCACTGAGGTAGAACTAGTTTACCCCCTGACAGGATTTGTCAGGTGGCAACCCTGTTATTGTCCTTGGGATTGGCCCAGATTTTAGTTTTGAATTCCAGGGCAGGTTGTAGAATTGCATGCGCAAGCTTTTCGCTGACTTCAAAGATCCTTGATAATGCATTCTTGCAAACGGCTTCTTGCGCCTGAGGACCTCAACACCTGCAACTTAAAATGTCCAGACTCTTGAAGCCTCAGGTTTTGCAGACTTTGCCTCGTGGAAATGTTTGGATTGCTCTGCTCAAGGCTCAAATAATTGATCTGCGTACTCTGATTGAAGT